CTTACTGCTCGTAAAATCGTCTTAATCTCTCTCTTCCCTGCCACAGAATAGACACAACCGGCGGCACACGCGAGATATTGAACCGGCTACGGGACATTGAGGCGATTCTGGAAAACCAGTCGGAGCACATTGCTTCTCTGTCAGTCGAATCGAGACCTGTCCCATCCCAGTTTCAGAATCATAACGAAACATCACCGCAAAGCCAGCCGGGTGTGCCATTACGAGGGATGCAAGCTGAAGCCACATTCGACTCTTGGTCCTTCAGCCCTCCGTCTCAAGCAGCTATGCCTATGCCAGCGAACCTTCCACCCTTGACGATTCCAGTGAAGCACAAGACATCATCCAGCTACCTCCTAGGCCTGCCGGCCATGAAAGCTCTCATCGGGGAGTACCCGTCTGATTTGTTCTTCCTGCTCGAGTCAAGCCATCCATTGCCCCCTGAGCTCTCGTTTGATGACCTGCTAGGATCACGGCCAGATATCGAGATCACCCGTGAGGTGGCAGACGAGTTGGTTTCCCAGTTCTTCTCTTCCACCCACCACAACCACCCGATCCTTGATCGTGAAGAATTCCAGGCCGTGTACATGTCGTTTTGGGACAACGGCCCGGACTCGAGCATAGGCTCGGTTCTCTGCATGGTCATCTTCGCCCTCGCAACAGTGGCTTCCTCACATCCCAACACTAAACAGTTCAGCTCATCGCCACCAGGCATGCCATTCATGCAGAATGCTTTGCCAACACTCATATTACAGTCGTCGTGGTCATTCTCTTCAAGCCTGTTATTGCCACAGGCGCTGGTCCTCGCAAGCGTCTATTTTGCTTACATTGTGCGGCCATTGCAGAGTTGGCGGCTCATTTATTCTGCCACGACCATCCTCCAGTTCAGGCTCTCAGGGTAAGACGAACCTCTACCATTCTTATTGAAACCTAACACTAAACCTGGGACTCTTATTCATAGCATCCAAGCTGGGGAAGAATCCCCGAGTTCGCGAGAAAGCGTCATTCGTTTATTCTGGTCATGCTTCCTGGTTGAGTGCGACCGCCTTGCTGAGCTCGAACTTCCACGCAGCGGCCTCCAGCAACTTACGGATGAAGTGAGCCTCCCGAGCTGCACTAATCTTGGGCTGATGCCGTCGACATGCTATCTCGCGGAGATATCTATCCGCAGACTCCTCAATCGCATCCACAACTCGCTTTACCCCAGGAAGAAGCATGTCTTGACACTGTCATCGACGACCTTGACCGCCGTTGATGATTACTCCATAGAGGACGTATCTTCCATGGTGTCAGTGTGCGATGAGCTTCATTCACAACTTGAGACGTGGCACGCCTCAATACCGGAGGGTTTCAGGCCACATCTTGATGTCGGCACTCCCGGTACTGAGTCCAATACTCGTGAACCGGTTCTGAGAATACGCTACTTTGCCGCTCTTCACATCATCTACCGACCGTTCTTGCTATACATCGTCACCCATGGGGTAGAGCACGCCACCGAAGTGATGTTTGAAAAGGCATCCGTCTGCATTGAAGCTTGTCGACGCTACCTGCACAACACATCCTTGGTTCTAGCCGGGCCCAGCCAATATACTTGGACATTTTCTCTCTCGTGGGCCACATCTCCATATCACACTCTACAAGTTTTACCGCTAACAAATGTTTCTCTCCCAGATCGCTCGGCGCCATCGTCATACTCACACTGGCTTCGCTGAACCCACATCTACGCCATCTCATCGCTGATATTGATGAATTGCAAACTACCGCCATTCGGAACATTCGGCCTTGGGCATTTTCAAGTCTCGAAGCAGTTGTGAGTATATTGGAGGATCTACAAAAAAAGCAAAGAATCCTGGCTCGTGTAAATAAGTAAATAGGCTCCTGTAATTCTGTAATTTAAGTGGAAAGGGACCAAATCGCCATTTACTACTCTAATAATACATTGAATCGCTCATAGAACTCCTCCAGTAGGCTGGGCAATAATTTCCAAGCCAATATCGCTGCTCCAAAAAGACCCATTTGGATAAGTATACTTTTCCAGAGCCTCATCGGTGTATCCCGTCGAGTAGCCGGGAGCCAGCGGTGTCACATAGTGTGCGTTCTCGATCTTTGAAGGATGCTTGAGATTCTCTCTGTGGCTGTCGGCATTCTCTAGCATTGACTTGCGGCCGCTGATGGCGATGTAGTCAATGGTACTGAGATGCGAGGTCAGCTCTGTCAGACCCATAGCTCCGTTGTGAGGGACGCAAGGGACGTCAAATTTCAAAGCCATAATCATGACAGCCTATAGATGAGGGCGTGACTGTTAGCGCGAGAATCAGCGTCTCTTAAATGAGTTTTCCACTTACCAGACACTCATTGACACTTCCCAGACGAACAGCATCAATCTGGCATACGTCCGTGGCTTCAGCTTGAAGCAACTGCTTGAACGTTACTCTGTTCTGAGCAGCCTCGCCAGTAGCAACCCCCACGCCGTACGGCTTAAGGGCTTTTCGAATGGCCGCATGGCCCAGGACATCATCGGGATTGGTTGGTTCCTCGATGAAGACTGGCTTGAACTCTACCAGGTGCTTCATGTATTCAATGGCTTCAGGCACGCTCCATACCTATTGATTGTCAATTTACGCTTTCAATAGCGGTATAGCGATTGTTACATACCTGATTGGCATCAATCATGATTTGGTGCCCTTTGTCATAACCGAGCACTTCTCGAACTGCCGAGAGTCGCGCGCGATCGGCTTCGATGCTTGTTCCCACTTTGAACTTGAAAACTGTGTATCCTGCGGCTATCGTCTCCTCAAGCACCTCCTTCATCCGGTCGCCAGAGAAGGCCAGCCATCCCGGAGATGTCGTGTACGCCGGGACGGCCACATTCTGCATCGCCTCCTGCAGACGCTCCTCTTTCCCTCCCTGCGTCTTGTTGAGGAGCTTGATACTCTCTTCAGGCGTGATCACATCCGTGATGTATCGGAAGTCGATGCATCGCACAATCTCTTCCGGCGTCATGTCGCAGACAATCTTCCACACTGGCTTGCCCAGGATCTTGCCCCAGAGATCCCACACGGCGTTCAGCACACCGGCCACGGCCAGATGTGTGACGCTCTTCTCAGGGCCAATCCATCGGTACTGGGAATCAGATACCATGTACCGCCATGTCTTGCCCATGTCTCTTGTGAGCTCGTGCATGGTCTTTCCCACGACTCTCTTGGCAAAAATCTCCAGCGCCATGCAGACCAGTTCACTTCCTCTGCCGTTGCTGAATGCCTATAGAGAAGTAAAAGGGTTAGTAACAATATAGGGGCGGAATGATGTAAAATCTAAAGAGGCGGTTACTTACAATGCCCTCGCCGACCAGGCCATCGTGATTTGTGAAGATCTGAATGAAAGGATGCGATCCATTAGTCCCAACGTGCATGGCATCGGAGCCAACACCATCTAGACTCGTTGGAAAACGCAGGTCTGTGACTTTGAACGATGTGATGGTGACATCGTGCTCTGAGACAGTCGTGATGGGTGCCATTGTCACGAGAAGGGGGATATTCTGTTCAACTTTCCCGACAAAATTGTAATACAGCCTGACGAAATGGAAATTAAAGTCAGGTAGAGATGGATAGATGATCAGAGCCGTTGGGTACAGACGCTAAGGCAGCAGAAGCATGCCATTGATAACCACCTCGCATTTGGAGGCCCGACGGAAACCCCACGGATACTACCTAACCCCATTTCTCCTCACCTGCCATCACGCGCCGCTCTTCCCCATGGGCATCGGAAAACGTCCGTCTCGAATGCAATGTCGTGGAGAATCAGACATGCTCCGCTCTCTCTTGGTCAACATGGTTTCCTTCATGGTGGTGTGGATCTGCCGCCTCCCCCCGTCTATGGGTCTGCCGCTTACCCCCGCTGCCTCCCTCGATCCGTATGGAGAGAGTGTACATGTGATGGCTGTAGCGTGCCAATTCAGTTATTCCGTTCTGTGGAGCTGGAGACGAGCTTCATTGCCTCTCAGCCGGGCTCAGCTGAACGCGAGGAGGAGCTCCTCAAGCTTGGTAGATAGATAATATCATAGGTTTTCTCTAACAAGGCTTCTCTGGTAGGCCTTTAGTCCTTCTGACCTAACCTGATCCTCTCCCCAGGTACAACACCGTCGAGCATCTTCTCTTGAAATTTCCGACCCAGTATCTACAATGCCTATTCCTCTAGTTCCCGGCATCTATGCACCCACCCAGGTGTTTTATTCAAATGGAAAAGACGAGACTTTGGATCAAGCTGTGATCAAGCAACATGCTATTCGGCTTGCCAAAGCCGGTGTTGTGGGCATAGTGACAAACGGGTCCAATGGAGAAGCTGTCTACTTGAGTCCTGAAGAAAGACTTCAAGTCACAAAATCAACCAGGGAAGCTCTTGATGGGTCAGGATATGCCCACCTACCCATCATCGTCGGCGCCTCAGATCAATCCGTACAGGGAACATTACGCTTGTGCCGCGATGCTGCAACAGCTGGTGGTGACGCGGTCCTTGTCATGGTCCCTAGCTTCTTCAAGTGGGCGATGACGACTAAGACGATAGAGGAGTTTTTCATTGCAGTAGCTGACCAGAGCCCTCTGCCGGTCATCATCTACAATTATCCAGGGGCTGTCGCAGGGATCGACCTAGACTCCGACTTGCTGATCCGTCTCAGTCAACATGCCAACATTATCGGTACAAAGTTCACCTGCGGTAGCGTTGGGAAGTTGGCTCGCGTCACAGAGGCCACAAAAACTGCCACACAGGCACTTGAACCAACATCAGATGGCAGCTACTTTGCTTTTGCGGGAGTGGCAGATTTTATCTCCTCATCGCTTGAAGTTGGTGCAAGCGGAGCCATTGTGGGAGCAGCCAACGTGTTTCCCCGGGCTTGTGTAAATGTATACAATCTCGCTGCCCAGGGGAAGAGAAAGGAGGCTATGGAGGCACAGCAAAAGCTGGCGAAGGCCGACTGGGAATTGACCAAGAGGGCGATTCCTGGGTTCAAGGCTATTCTTGACCACTGGTTTAGCTATGGCGGGATCCCACGGGCTCCAATGCCCGCATTAAGTCAAGAAGAGAGCCAAAAGTTGTTTCAGGATATTTCATGGATGATGGACATCGAATCAGGCCTTGATGACTTTGGTGTGCCTTCATAGATAATTCTCAAGTTACATTTACAAATTGAATCTTCACACGATCTTAGACCTGAGGTTTTATAATCAATCATTCCTCTTTAAAAACGATATGACCGCAGGTTGTTGGGCAAGTTATTGCAATGGATGTTATTCAGAGTATCAAAAGCATTCCTTAAACGACGTTTACAATGTATGGTGTAGGATAAAGAAGATGTTTGCCATTCAATGGTGCTAACAGTTACTGATGCGATTATATTTTTATTCTGTAAATCTGGCAATATACTTTTCTATACTCATTGAAACTGCTTCTCGTAGTCCACCAGCGTGAACCTGTATTTAACATCGCCATTGTGCACCCTCTTTAGGGCAGTCCCGCAACCTTCCTCTCCAACAGGAATCGTCTCTACCCAGCTCTTGATGTTCTGCTCTGCTGCGATATTGAGCATGTCCAGTGTCTCCTTGCGACTTCCAAGATGGCTACTTCCAATCAAGCACCCGTTTGCAATCAAGCTTTGGGGCCGCACTTTCCAGCCCGCTCCCTCTGGTAGACCGACAGCAATAAACCGGCCATGGGTCTTGAGAAGTGACAAATAAGGTGCGAGATCGAACCCATCATCAGATGAAGCTGTGCATAAAATGAAGTCAAAGGTCATTTCATGTTCGTTAGACCAGTTTTCCTCTTTGGTCGCGAGAAAGCCGTCCGCACCCATTTTCCGTGCATCAGCCTCCTTTGCGCGAGATCTTGAGATGGCGTATGTTGTGGCTCCGAGAGCTTTGGCAAAGAGAATACCATAGTGACCAATACCTCCACTAGAAATAGGGTTAGAACCATTCGACTTTGGAATGACAGAAACGGTAACACTCACATGCCAACAATGCCAACCTTCTTACCAGGCCCGACGCCGTTACGAACCAAAGGGGAATAAGCAGTGAGACCAGCGCAAAGCATGGGAGCAGCAAGTTCAGTTTGCAAGCCGTCCGGGATGGCGAAGGTAAAGTGCTCGTGCGCCCGAATGTGAGATGAGTAACCTCCGTGTGCGACAGTGCCGTCGGGATAGATGGATGCGTATGTATCTATTTCAGTGTGAGTAAAAAGTGTATTATGATTGCTACAAAAGATGGTGTAACCTACCCAAGAGTTTCTTGCAGTACGTTTCGTTATCCTCCTTGCATGCGTCACATTCGAGACATGCGAAAATCTGGGCTCCTACGCCAACACGATCCCCAACCTTTACAGTTGTGACCTTGGGGCCGACTTTGACAGCATGTCCAATGATTTCTAGTAAACCCAAACTCGATTAGTTTTGCAACACAACTTCAAGATCAAGATAACTCACCATGCCCAGGAACGACTGGCCATATTTTATTGCCCCAGCCACCGGTAGCTGTGTGGACGTCAGAACCACAAACGCCACATGCAATGATCTTGACATCAATGTCATAGTCCCCAAATGGCTTTGGCTTAAACTGCATTCGTATGGGTTAGTCAGGACATAAGCCTCGAGTGTTCAGGAAAATGTGTTTAGGAAAGCCGAACCTCGAATCTCTTGGGATTCTGCCATTGATCCGCCGAGGAGATGGCGAAGCCCTCAAATGTCTCTGGATACATTGCCAGGGATATTCTTTACAAGACACTCTCAGTAATTTTTGATTATCCGTCAATTTGAAGTTCTTAATTAGCTTCAATGAGAGTGCAGCGTGCGAGCTTGGGCGGTGATATAGGCTTCAGTTTACTCGGAATCCAGAACCCGTGATTATTCTACACTACACGAATGTAAAATTAGAACAGCTACTCCAATTCTCCTCACTTAGCTAGCTTAACGGATTCCAAGCTCCGAATGGGGCTTCTTCGACCTGCCGCCTACCCCCGTGTAGTTCTTTGCTGTTGTGCTCTGCCGATTACCCCCGCCTACCCCAAGCTACCCCGGTTTGACAGCTCTAAGCGACAGTGCAAGCGGGCCTTGGCTCATTGTGGTATGCTTAAGAATATTTGGAGAAATTCATGCGGGTTGTCCGAACAGTCGGGGAAACCCAGCGGGAAGCCTCGAACATGCATGTGGAGAGCCAGGTTCTTGAAACTGGCAAGCTAAGCGACTCCAAAGCATACGGCCATCAAGGAGTTGGGACTTGCGTGGGAATTCGACCATTTGGTTGAGGCGTACGGAATACTTCTCATTGTCCTTCTATCTATGACTGTTTGCTCAGATCAAGTGCCTGACTTATGAGGTCTCTAACTGTGTCTTTGAAGGAGTGATAATCATAGCCTAGTTCCTTTGCCACCGTCTCTCCATCAAGTCCATGAGACTCATCAATAGTTTGATTCTCCGGCCTTATACCGTCCTTTAACTCAGTGAAACCTTCCCTAATGATCTCTGCTGCCATTGCGTAGGAAAACCGCTCTGGGGACGCCGGGGTGTATCTTTTCCCTCCAACCTCGGCCTTCAGCAGCGATTCGACATGGGCAACAGCCAGGTCTCTAACATCAATCCAGAACGGGACTCTAGCAACTGGGAGGGGATTCTCTCCTCTTGCAACCTTCCAGAGCATAGCATTCGACTCGTTAAGCTTGTCCACGCTGGGAACAGGATGTACCACGGGTCCGAAAGTCATCGGCGGGCAAAGGGTCACTATGCTAAACGCCGGCTTCTTCTGCTCAACAAACTTCCAAGCCTCCAGCTCGGCAAATTTCTTGGAGCCACGGTAAGCTATCACAGCACTTGTGGCAGGGTCGGCCGCCTCCTCGTAAGAAAGAGGGTTCCAGTCTGCTCCCGTGTATGTGAAATACGGCGGTGCTTTGCGATTTGCGTCGAGAACGGAGGCAAAGGATGATGTTATGACGACGCGCTTGACGCTCGGGCTTGCAGATGCGGCTTCGAGTATCGCTCGAACTCCATTTATAGCAGGGATAATAAGTTCCTTCTCGTTGTTTGTGGTATCGTAGGTGAATGGCTGCAACAACGAAGTCAGTCTTCTGCAGTGTGCATATAATCAATATTGGCACACTTACGCTTGCTGTGTGAATAATGCCGTCGACCCCTTCAACGGCCTCCACTAAGCCTCCAGGGCTTTCGAAATCATCGATCTGGACAAATTCAAGTTTCCCGGAATATTGCGGTCGGGCTTTGATCATTTCATCTCCTTTTGCGAGCGTCCGCGTGGCACCACGGACTCTGAGACCTCGTCTGAGAAGAGTGTCCACAACGTGTGCTCCGATGAAGCCCGTCGCTCCAGTGACGAGGACAAACTCGAGTTGGTTCGTTCCGGCCATGTTGATGTTTCGCGACTACAAGTTGATTGAGCCTCACAGTTCACGATGCTCGCTGAAAAACAGATACTGACGATGTGAACGGACTGAAGAGAAATACGGTTCAAATCCCTCCCCCACGTCATCGTCACATTTTCTCAAGGTGACTGTGGAGACAATACTACTGTATTGCATGAATCATCTGCATGGGAGCTACGTGTAAGACAGCCTGGGGTGGAGAGAAATACCCTCACCTCATGCAGCCCGGGGCAATGGTTCTGTTAGCACATCAGTTGAACTGTAACACCCGCATTATACTCCACTAGAACGGCCATTTCAAGCATGCTCGTATACTACCCGAGCGGAATTTGCCTTTCAGCGGCTAGTCCTTGACTCCTCTTTGCCCTTGTTGCCGCTTATCCCCGCCCAAGAGAGTGTTTTTTGCCAGTCACAAGTTCAGAGAGAATGGGTCTGCCGCCTCCACCCGCCATGACAGGGCAAAACCTCGAGTCAGGCCAGTGGGTTCATCTCCTCGCCCCGCAACAATCAAATGTTTCTACCCCGTGGGGGAGGCAGGGAAGCGTGAGGTGCAGACAGCAACCGAATCCCTCTAGTGCTGTTGCATCTCATGATCCAACCTTCTCCGAACCGGTGTGGTGGTGTCTTGATTCTGATCATCCGCAGCAGCAAAGTTACACTATCGGCTGAAGGAGAATACCATGTGGCGTCTCCTTTGATTTGATTCCTTGGTTGTGGTCTTGGTCACCACCCCTGGATAGCATATCCTGGTTTGATATCGAGCTCACCTGCAGGGCGCAGATATTTAGCCGTGCAGATCCCTCTGGTTTCGGATCCCCTTGAACCTTCTCTTCAGTCACCAGTCTCTGTTTCCTGGCCAGATATAGGCCGGACAAGAACACAAACCACCAGCGCGGTTTCTAAACATACAAAACACTTCATCGTCAAAAACAACCTGTTGGGTTGCGGCACCTTCTGCCAATTGATCCATTATGGGTTTAGCAAACCTTTCAGAGCGTCTGAGCGGCACGCCTCTCATCGCGGCCATTACTATTGCCAATGCCTGGTACAAAACCTCCTCTTCCCAAGGCATCCACGAGCTCTGCAGCTAATTCGTTCTTCTAGTTCCATGGCATGGTTCGGTTACGACCAAGGAGTCTTCTCCGGTGTTCTCATCTCAGCCGACTTCAAGGTTCACTTCCCCGAGACTCGACAGGCAAACATTTCCGGCATCACCTCTAGCTGCTTCTCCGTACGTCCACGCATTATCCTCGTTACGGCCGAAATCTAATATGAAATATAGCTTGGGGCTTTCTTTGGTGCCATCTTCGCGTTCACTGCCGGTGATAAACTTGGACGTCGAAAGGCCGTTGCCCTAGCTCTCATCTGCAACTTCGTTGGTGCGGTCCTTCAAATCGTCGCTTGGCATCTGCCCCAGATGATCATCGGTCGAGTCATCAATGGCTTCGGAATGGGATTGTCGTCTGCCACCTGTCCCGTCTATCAGGCTGAATGCTCCAAGCCTCGCGTTCGAGGAAAACTAGTGGTTGTTGGCTCGCTCATGAACACGGCAGCGTTCTGCCTGGCAAACTGGATGAACTACGGTCTCTTCTTCCAGGGGAACGCTCTACAATGGAGATTTCCTCTTGGTTTTCAATTAATCTTCCCCATCATTGTCGCCACGGCTCTTCTTTTCTCTCCCGAATCTCCAAGATGGCTTCTCCTCAAGGACCGACACGACGAGGCCTTGAACGTTATTGCTCGACTGGAAGGTTCCAATAAGAGCGTTGATGATGAGGACGTACAGGCACAGTATTTGTCTATCCGAGGAGCTCTAGAGCAGGAGCGGGACAATGTTGTCCCTACCATGGATGTCCTTCGCTGCCGCGACAAGACGCAGAACCTCCGAAGAATCTTGCTGTCCTGTGGCACACAATTCATGCAACAGTTCAGCGGTGTTAATGCTCTAGGCTACTACCTTCCCACGCTGCTACAACAAAGTGTCGGCTTGAGCGAACAGCAATCCCGCTTGATGACAGGCATAAACGGCACCATTTACCTTTTCTCCGCCATGTGTTGCTTGCTCATTATCGACCGGTTCGGCCGTAGAAAGTAAGTTCTTTTCTCCATAACTTGATCGCACATGGCTAATGAAAACAAGGATGATGCTATACGGATCGTTGACTATGGGCTCTTGCTACCTCGTTGCCTCAATGTGCCTTAAGAATGCTGCAGGCGCAGATGATGACCGAGAGCAACTTGTGAGTGCTACAACAGGGGATCACAAAATGAATCATACTGACAGATAAACTTAGCTCGGAAGAGTCACCACGGCCATGTTCTTTCTCTACTACTTCTTCTACGGTACCAGCTTCGCCAAGGTTCCCTGGGTTTACAACTCCGAGATCAACTCTCTCGGCTGGAGAACTCGCGGAGCTGCAGCTGCCACAGCGACCAACTGGATGGGCGGCTTCATCGTGACACAGTTCACCAAAGTTGGCGTCGATAACCTCAAGTGGAAGTTTTATCTGAGTAAGTCTCACCTGCCCGTGCCATTCTGACTCGGTAAAATGTTTCTAATAAAATTATAGTCTACGTCATTCTTTGCTGGTCTTACTTCCCTGTGGTGTTCTGCCTGTACCCCGAGACGTCGCGCCGTACCCTCGAAGACATGGATGAGATCTTCATCAGCCATCCTGGGTTGTTGGTCTTTGGTAAATCTACTCTGACTCAGCGTGAGCGGCCCCAGGCCTTCATCGACGCGGAGTCAGCTCGTATCGCCGCTATCTCGGACGCCAAAGAGACCGGTGAGCTTCATAAGAGCTCTGGAGTAGCACACGAGGAGCGAGTTTAATTGGTCAGTGAGACTGTCGGCATGGTGACCTTTCGTGTAAATGAAGGTTAAGCGGAAATCATATTTTCGTCCGGGTGCCTTGATACTTTTATGATATGGTTCTCGGCTTTCATCGTGTCTGATCGGCTAACACTTCTTGTGGCAATATTGGACCTTTGACAAATGAGGACACTATCGTCCATCATGACAAAATTCAGTGCCTTTTTCGATATAGTTATCACAAAATCTGTGTAATAATCAACGCCTTATTGTCTCATTCCACAGCCAAAATTATCAATAATGCTGCGAAGGATTCCTGTACACAAATTCGATTGTCAGCCTATGATGACCTTCGTGAGATGCTTCAGTCAAGACTGTGTCTCTGGACGCCCAATCTTAACAATGGCTTGTTTTCTCTCAATCCTGTCACTGTTTCCTCAAAGGAAATCAATGACATTTCGCATGCAGCTGGACCCATTATTTGGGCTTTATATAGCAACCTGTTGGTCGGTTGGTTGTACTGATCTGCCTGTTCTCTAATGGACATATGCAGTGTAGCGTAGTAGTCATTGTCTCTTCCTTTGCAGGCTCCCTCGTGCTAAATTTACCCATTTTGTTGCATATTCGTCTTACCAACAGCGCTTGGCTTATGTCACGCCACACAGCCAATTGATGGAACGATACGAAATGGTTCCTCTTGTGATCCATGGATGAGGCTATGGTCTATTTATATAGCGACTTCGGTGAACTAAATACCGGTTTCCTTTGCTACCCCTTCTCGAGTTTCGTCTACTTTGTGAACACCTCTTGCGACGAATCTAGTTGCTTGCCATCAGTCACACTTCGTCGTGCAAATCTGTTGTGTTTTGTTTTTTTTGGTTAACCAAAATGCGGCCAACTAGATTTCTCGTCGCTATTTATCTCCTATTTATCGGAAGCGCCTTTGCCCTTCGAGCAGAAAGAGGTCACACCACCGGTATAACGGCCACTGATGCTAGAATTTTGAACCAGCCACCCACAAAGCTCAGCCAGAGGGCTCCTCCTGCTCGCGCTGCAAAGACCGATTTGCGCAAAAGACCAAAACGAATAAAAGGGTGGTCTGGGAAACGCGATAAGAAGTTCAAGAATAAAAAGCCCGCGAAGAAAACCGCCCCAGCTCCAGGGCCGCCGAGCAACAATCTCAAGCGTGGCGGGGTGAGTCTCTGGAACCTATTCAGACGCGATGCTGGGTAATAATAACTACTGATAATTTCGCCCTAGACATGTGGGAAAGGACCCGGGGATGGCCCTGGGCACTGTCGGTTTAAAATCAACGGGCAAAATGAATTCATGGGCTGTTGCCCTGGGGAGAAAATGAAGGTAGGTGACCCTGAAAGAAAGCAACCGCGCAGCCGTGATACTGATGCGGCAGCCTCATTAGTGTATTAAGTTGAATGAAGCCTGCAATGAAATCCCTGGGAAAGGATGTGCCAGGTGCCAGCAGCCCAAGTAAACTCTTTGGCTCACCAGCGCGCACTGGCCGCTCTCCCGCTTATCCGAGGTTTGGTCAGCCATCATCAACGTGGAATGATTAATTCAGATTCTCTTCGCGCGCGGCAATGACAAAGGAACAGGTCCACTGATGCCAGGCTGTCCAATCACGCCGAGACGGATCAAGTCTCCCACCCGGATATACGGTTCAGTCTTCATCAGCCTTATTCCAGCCCTCATCCTTTACGTCTCAATACTCAGCTCTAAGCCCGTCAGAGCAGGAGACTGTGTGAGAACTGTGGCTTCATCTGTGTGGGAGATTGATAAGGCCGTGTGGGATATGCCACATGGCAGATTCTCAGCATAGTTCATCCCAACTACATCTCATGTCTTGATGCTAAAGCAATCAACAACACAACGGGATAAATGAAATGGACGGTTCTCCCATTTTCAATTGGAGGATTATTTTCAGTCTCATAGACAATAAAGCCTTGAGAGCCTCATCTCAAACATTTCTTCTTTGACTTCATCTGAATATCATTCTCAAGAGTCTTACCCCTAACATCAAAGACAAAGATGCGAACTGTCGTGATTGCAGCCCTTCTTATTGGGCAGACTTTCGCATATGACCAGCTCCTCAACTTCAGAGCTGCGCCTGTATATGAAAACCGCTCCCTGGATGAAATTCACCAAGCTGCCCTGGAGGAAGGCGGAGTTGTCGCCGTCTGGCACGGTGGTGATGAGGCCAACCAGCAAGATGCGCTAAAGCAGGCGTTCGAAACCCGGTTCCCAGGAATGACCCTGAACCTTACTGTCGATCTCTCTAAATACCATGATGGTCGTCTCGATCAGCAGCTTGGGGATGGCAATGTCTACGTTGACAGCATTATCCTCCAAACGCTCCATGACTACCCCCGTTGGGCTCAGGAAGGCGCCCTGTTGAACTACGCTCCCGTCGGCTTCGATCAGATTGAACACTCCTTCAAGGACGACACTGCGGCGGCCTGGTATGGCCTGTATGTCTTCTTCTGGTCTGGGGCCTTTAATACCGAGAAGCTGCCTGGGATTGAAACTCCCGTTGAGTGGAACGACTGGCTGCGCCCTGAGTTCAAGGACAAGCTTGTCATTACCTACCCGAACGATGATGATGCCGTGACATGGGCATTCTATCTTGTGTAAGTAAACCTTCAATCTTTCAACCTCTCACCTCTCAATGGTCTCTTGAACATGTTGACTAACCGTCCCGCTTCCCCTTTCAGGATGCGTCAATATGGCACTGGATGGTTCGACAGGCTCATCTCTCAGAACCCCCGCTGGGTCAGAGGAACCCAGACTCCCAGCACTCTGGCTAGCGCCGCCAATACCACCTCTGCCGCCTTCTTCGCAGGCTTCGGGGGCTTCGGCTCCCGAGGCAACCTCAACTTCACAGTCCCCAAGGAGGGCAAGTACGTCTCCTGGCCGCAGACGGGCCTATCCTCAAAGATGCCCCTCACCCAGAGGGAGCCAAGCTCCTCCACAACTTCATCCTCACGCCCGAGTACCAGCAGGCAACTGGTCTATGGCCTGTTCGTCGGGACGTCGCCCCTCCTGCTGGGTTCCCTGATCTTTGGACCGCAAACGCCACGAACCCGGCTGAGTTTGCTCGGTTCATGGCTGATCGTCCTCTTGTTGAGAGATTGAGGTTCTTCTTCGAAGCTAAGCTTGGTACTGCCGTCGGTCTAGATCCTATCTCGGATGATATCTAGACATTTGTGGCGTGTGGAATGTGTATTTAAACACCTACATAGAACAATCTGATATATAGAGTTAGACCTGGAAAATTTAGTAGACGGGGGCGACGTTAATATCAACAGTTAGATCCTTCACGTATCCTTAAACTGCGAAAGTAAGGGGCTGCACGACGGCCATTTGACCAATTTTTTACTGCGATTCGGCACGTAGTTCGCACCAGGCTGGGTACCACACAATCATGCTTCTCGTAGAAGTCAGGTTTGAATACACACGAAAGGCATACAAGAGCACATAGAGAGCGACAAGAATACGATCATAAATAATGATATCACCTCTCAAAGTCCTTAAAGCAGTGTAATGATTGAGAAATCAAAAGTTCACAATGTATTGATACAGTTATCCTGTGTATCCGGGTCGTTATATACACTTAATGCATCTTCCTGCTGAGTTTAACCCTTATCCGGTATACGATGTCCAGATCCTATACGTAAAATCCCCCTTTGCCCTTGTTCATACTTAGAAATAAATGATTCGTGACTCTGCCTACCACATCGTTTAGAAGTACTGGAACTTGCCAGGTCTGCTGGGCCTGGGAGGCTTCACAGGGGTGCTGGGAGTCGTGCCGTCGCCGTTGACGTTCTCGTTGATGAAATCCAGCAGGGCGCCCAGCCTGGCGTAGACGCCGGAGAAACCAGCCTGTGCGCATCCCTGACCCCATGAAACGAGGCCGACGAGGGTGCCGGATGCGTCAATGATGGGGCCACCGCTGTCTCCGGAGCAGGAGTCCTTGCCTCCCTCTTCGAGACCGGCGCAGAACATGGTGTCTGTGATAGCAGCCTGGCCGTACTGGGATCGACACTTTTCGCGGGAGACAACGGGGACGGAGACCTTCATCAGGTCTGCGGGGAGATCTTGTCCGTTCTCCTGCAGAAGACCCCTGTTTTTAATTGAGTCAGCGTTTGCTCAAGGGGATAGAATTTACAGCAGGGAGGGGACAATGTATGAAGAGTACTTACCAGCCTGCAACTGTGACAGTAGAGTTGGCAGCGGGATCGGAGCCGTCCTGGGGAAGAGTGGCATAGCTAATGCCAGAGCCCTCCTCGATGGACTGGGCCAGCTGCCAAACAGCGACATCGTTGCTAATGGTACTCTCGTCGTAGGCGGGATTGACAGTAATGGAGGAAACACCGACTTGGGTACCACCGGAAGCCCATGTCTGATATATACAGTTAGTCCCGGATCTTTTCCCTCAAGAGAACGATGGATCAGGGGTAGTTCGGGAGCAACTTACCAGACTTCCAGCGCGGACCTTGACAGAGGAAGCCTCTGTGTCGACGGAGCAGTGCGCAGCAGTGAGCACGGTGTTGGCGTTCAACAGGACACCTCCGCAGAAGTGGGAGCCGCTCTGCGACAAGCTGACAATGAATGGAAAGTCGCCGGCCTGGGCCTTCTCACCACCGACAATGAATGCGCTCATGCCGTCATCGCGGGTCGTTGGGAGGGCTGTGGTGAGGGCGGGGAGAGCCAGAGCGGCGGCAAGTGCAAGCTTAGGAGCCATGATGTGTAGAGTTGGACTCAAGAAAGAGTGTGATTGAATGAATGATTGCAGAGGAGGATGTCCGATGAAGAGCGACCAAGTGGTTTCAAGACGCAGGACCTGGGACGTATTTATGCGACAGAGTCGACGCAATGCAACCCCTACAGCCGCCGGGGCAGCCGTTACAGATCACCAACGACTGGGTTTCATTGAAGCAGATTGGCGAAGCCCTGTTGATTCCAATACATGATTCTCCACAGAGACAAAGATTGAGATTCCTATTGAAGTATCGAGCTTCAGTTCCACAGCCCGTGCAGAGGGAAAATCATAGCAGAGCGCGACCGTGGGCCAAACTCCAGCGACGACGACAAGCTACGACAAGCTGTGATTGTCCTCTGAAAGGCTCCAGGTCTGGGAATTATTAGCCCCCACATGCTGTTACAGTTGTTGGTCTCAAGTGGGCATCGCATTGATGAACTCATACCCAATCGGTTCTCTTCTGCCCCAATTGGCAGCTGAGTTCGAACTTCCGTGTCAGGCGTAACGCTGATCAGTGTCCAGGGGTAAGGGCAAAGACCTTATGAGACGCGTCTATGCAATGCCATTGCCGTGCTCCCGCCGGCTCTCAACTTGAGACGTAAAGGGGGCGCGTAACAGGGGTAGATGGGGCTATGCCCACCACAGAAGCGTTTCACAAATGACAGCCAGCAGCGAAGCAACGCGTTTATTCTGGCCCAGAATATTTCATCCAATAACATCACGAAAGCCGTTGGTCAAACGCTGCCCCAGGTAATTTAGGCTACTCTCGTATGATCGCCCGCCATGGCTCCTTTTCTGAGCCCGTTTCTGTGTGTTCATAGGCTCTTTGCAGCATGTGCCAAAATTAACATTAATTTACGCACCAACTCAGTTTCGGTGAAGCAGTCTGGATTGCACTCTAATTGGAGGGAAGAACACCTGGGTCTTTTTACCTTGAAATCTCCAAGGATGCCGATCTGGAAGGACTTTTGATATCTAAACGCAGAAAGCTTCGACCAACTCACGGGTGGAAAAGCATTGAAAACAGGGGCGAGGATAAGCTAACAGCTTGCTCCTGTTGATCACTTCTTCATTACGTCAGGCCTCTTCTCCACGTCGTACCACAAGGAATGCGGAATCACTTATCTCCTCGCACGAGCATCGCCCAGCTGCCTAAACACGATAATGCAAAGCAGATCGCATGGCGCCTGAACATGACAGTGCTCACCAGGTCGTGTGTATATCCCTCAACTGCCTAATAGTAATAATGATAGACGTGAATTCAAAGGTTCGCTTTCAAAAGTGCCGTCAAATTATCTACCTCGGTCACAGATACGCTCAGGCATGTGAGCCAAAACAAGGTTTCCCGGTATTTTATGGATTATGCTTGTTCGTTTGGCGATCAACAGGTCCGCCTTACCAGTTGTGAAGTTGGCGGCTGAAACGTTGCCACCAATTACAGTCTCACTTCTCTTGTAATTGCAGGCGAGGATATTCTCATCGTAACATCACTCAACTGACACTTGAAATATCTCAGTTTCAATAGTTTTAAGCTCGCTAAGTCTGAGTGTTGCAAGTCAAATGTGTACAGGCCATAGAGTTCGCTTGGAATTTGAAATGTAGACCATTGTGTTTCCGATCTTATATTATTCAGGCCTTGCAGCATCTCAGATAACTCAAGTGCGAGCTACTTGATCATTGAAATATGAAATTATCAACCCAAAAGGAGATCCTGTCTGGATGTGCAAGACGGCATCACGGGATGCTCAATACATAGCCATACTCATAAATCCGGCCACAATGGTTTAAAAATGAAGGCTAATGATCACTTTCTATGTTATTCTTTACTCAAATAGATGTTTTTTTAGCATCACCCGTTTTCTCTACCTCATTGAATGATTTTAATTGGAAAAATGTAGGGTAGACAAGCCAGCTCCCCTGGTGCGCCAAGAGCTCTCAAAGCCCATGACATGACATAACGTTAAGACACTATGACCAAGTCTGCTATTTTATGAGGGAAATTGTTAGTGTAGTAACCCTAATGAACTGTTTTGATGAGGAATATGCTCAATGAAGCAAACAAATAAACATCCTTCGCGTTTCAGGATGGTTGGCTATCTGTGCTGGCAATATACTTCCTTAAAAGCTTCAGATCGAACATGAATTGGCAACAAAGAGCAGGAAATGACGACCAGTTTCGCTGGTGTCAAGCCCCAGATGGTACTTGGCAACGCGATATCGACGAGGCTGAACGCTTCTACGCAACCTTTTGCAGAAAGCCGGATGACCCAGATGCCGCGTCTTTTGCTGTCACTTGTCATGCTTCATTTTTTGTCCCAGTTTCTGAGACCGGCGGAACATATGAAGCAACAAATGAGAAGATCACGGACGCGCTTCGTACTGCTTGGCTTGCCCTCTGCCATGAGTCCCCAACACTCGCGTCATGGATTCAGTATGACCCATCAGAAGGTGTTTGGAAAAGGATGTATGCGCCTCTAAATGGATCTGAAGATTCCCCAACTGTGTCCGCTTGGTTGTCCCAGACTTTCAAGCAAGTTAATTCAGATACAAACAACGAATGGTTCAACATGAACCCGCCGGTCTTCAAGGTTGCTACCTTGTTCGTGGTAGCCTCCCCTTCCGACCAAGATGACCTGGTGCATAGAAAAGTGTACTTACGTTGCCCCCATGACTTGGTTGATGGCATCGGTATACTACATTTAATTCATCGCTTCTTCGAGTTGGCCGACCGGAGTTGCCAAGGAGGGGCTCTGAACACGAGATGGGATGGGCATGAAGTTGCATATCTTTCGCCACCTCTGAGCACTGCGATTGGAATTCGAGGCAGACCTACTGATGCGCAGCGTCAAGCCTTTGATGCTCTTGTGGCAAGAAATGCTACACTCCAGACAGAAAAACCATTGCTCGGCTTTACGCTTAGCGATGATTCTGGGGGGGCAGACCGCATCCAACGCCTCTCCTTCTCACTCTCAGAGAACTTGACTGCCGAATTGGTCAGAAGGTCCAAGCTTCATGGCATCACAATAACACATCTAGTCAGCGCAGCACTTACTCTGGCGCTACGGGATCTCCAGTCTTTCCCGCCAGGAACTCTGGGCGTGAAGTATTGCAATCAGTCCATTGTAAATCTGCGCGGCCTCTGTCTCCCATCTCAAGATCCATTAGCCGTCGGAAACTACCACATGGTTGCAGCTCAATCAATGGCGATTGACCTGTCACTTGCCTCGTGCGACAACGCTACCAAAGGCAGCGAAGAAGAATTGATAGCAGTTGCAAAACAATTCCGAGACTATTACGCTGCTATTCGCCCAGTATCTAAGCCAATAGACCAAGATCTTCTTTCATTCATTCCCATGACCTGGGACATGTTCACGCCAAAGCCGACGACACAACCTCTGCCTCAACAGCAGGTCGCCTCTGTGGCTATCTCGTCACTTGGAAACATTTCCAGCATTGTGAAAACTGATTACGGGGCATTTTCATTGAAAACCGTTTGGGTCGCTGGAGAAACACTGGGAACGGGCATCAGCACCTTCATCCAGACCTTTGCAGGCGAGTTGGGGTTCTCGACTATTTTCAACCTGGGATTTCACCAGGAAGAACGCATTGAGGCGCTTCAAGAGTTAGTCTTGAAGAAATTGACTGAACTGTCCCAGTAACTCGAAAACGTATTTCCATTAAACCATCTTACTGCTAATGTATGATGTCGGAAATATCAGCAATAGGAACAGATTAGTATATATATATAATACTCTACTCACACCTGTAACTATATAATATACACAAGTAGTTTTTTTTGTTAGTAGATCTATGCCCCTTCAGCCCTATGAGGGCGCATTAGCTTGCAGTAATTCCTCTTCGTAGAGCTAGACTGCTAAGGCTTGGAGTTTTGGAGTGGACCGGGGTGTCTCCGCCACTTCTCCCGCCATCGTTTGTCTTTGAGTCGTTCTCTCTAGCCTTGGCTGTTGCTCCGGGACTTTGTCCGAGAGCCGTTCCTAGCTAGGTACTACATCCCCCGGATCGAACTGGCACATGGCCAAACATGCTTGTAAATAAGTACCGACAACGTAGTGGGTTGCATTCGCATCTGGAGTACCATTTGTCACACAATGGCCAAAGTATTACTGGTCGTTCGGCTTCTTGCCTTGATTGCGACTGCTCTACCGCATACTGTCGAATCAGCCCGAGGGACCCCGACTGCAGCCGTTCAGAATGGGACTCTCACGGGATTGCATCTCCCGCAGCTCAATCAGGACTTGTTTCTCGGCGTGCCCTTTGCTCGGCCTCCAGTTGGAGACCTGCGGCTACGGCACCCGCAACCGTTGAATCACTCTTGGGAGGGAGATCGGGATGCCACCAGGCGGGGCAACAGCTGTGTCGGCTACGCAGGATTTGCCAAGGGCCTGAACATGAGCGAAGGTATGTTTGCTTTGACTCAATCATCTTTGTATTATCATATGACATGATATGCTTCTGACTCTCGTTAATCCTCGAATAGACTGCCTGACTTTGGACATTGCACGACCTGCCCAGGCCGGACCAGGCGATGACCTCCCTGTGCTGGTCTGGATCTACGGGGGAGGATTTACAGCCGGTGGCAGCGCTGACTCTCGCTACAATACGTCGTATCTAGTCAATTCCTCCGTCGCTATGAAGAAGCCCATTCTCACAGTCTCAATTAATTATCGCGTTGGCGGATGGGGCTTCTTGGCTTCGCAGGAAATGCATGAGGATGGGGCTTCCAACATTGGCCTGTTCGACCAGCGACTCGCCCTGCGATGGATCAAAGAAAACATCAAGGCCTTCGGTGGTGATCCAAACAAAGTCACAATCGCCGGTGAATCAGCTGGTGCATTCAGTGTTGGTTACCACCTCGTCGCATTTGATGGCAACCACGAGAATCTGTTCAGGGCTGCCATCTTGCAGAGCGGCACTGCCCTTGGTCCAAGTGGTGAGCATCATGATACCATATCTCCTCAGCCCTTGCTTGAAATAACTAATTCTATGATTGCTAGTCAATTCGGTTGAGCAACTCCCGACAAGCTTCCAGCCCATCTACGATAATGTGACAGAGACAGTGGGCTGTTCTACAGCCGCCGACACTCTGGCATGTCTTCGACAGGTGCCCTTCGAGGCTCTTAATGTCGCCTTTGCACCCTTTGTTCTCACTCCTATCTTGGATGGCAAGTTCCTCTCTCGACTTCCCTCTATATCATTCGCCCAAGGTCTCGTGGCCGACGTAGCTGTCCTGGCTGGTTCCACCACTGATGAAGGCACGGCCACCTTCTTCGGCCCACGAGATACGCTGCGCAATGATTCAGACACAAGGGCGTTCATCGAGTCAATGGGTAATGGACTCGATCGTGGGACAGTCGACAAGCTTTTGGAACTCTATCCAGATGATCCTAGCCAAGGCTGTCCGTTTGGCACGGGAGAGATGCGCTTCGAGCAGCACGGCCTTCAATATAAGCGTGGTGCCGCCATCGTGGGAGATAGTGTCATTCATGCCGGTCGTCGGGCTACGACAGAGTACTTCGCATCGCGCCCAGATCACCGGAGAAAGCCGGTCTTCTCATATCGGTTCGATGAACGGCCATGGAACGGTGTCTTGGAGCTCATCGCGACTGAGACGCCCGTCTTCTCAACCCATTACGCAGATGTCTGCTTCTTCTTCAACATTGACCCTGCTGTCGGCCAGAATGACACCAACTGGATCGGACCGTATCCAGACTATCACGAGCTCGCCGGCCTGATGTCGGGATCCTGGATCTCTTTTGTGTACGGGTTGAATCCAAATCACGAGCCGGCGATCAGCGACATGCGGATCCCATTGTGGCCGGACTACTCCCTCGGGGGACATAATTTTGTATTCAGAGCGAGAGGAAGCTATGTTGAAAGAGATGACTGGCGGGTGAGTCAATTGAGCTTTTGGGGTACTATCTGGGAAGCCTTGAAAACATAGACGAGAATGTTTCGATAAAACTGTGTTTTCGTCTGATCTACTCAGGTCTCTACATGTTGATCCATAGCGAATATTTGAGGTAGCCATCGACAGACTGACTACTCCCAGACTTCCAAGGCCATTGCTTTTAGCCTTGTAGAAAGAAATAATAACCAACACGTTATACCACTCGTGCCCGATGCCAGCAGTGTACACTTCAAGTTGCTTTGATCTAGCGCATATACTTTGGCTTCGCCGCATTCATCCCAGTCATAAATGATATCCCACACGAAGAATGGAGAAATAACTTCTATGCTAGACTTGGAGATGGGTTATTTGGCATCTGAGCGCAGTATTCTGCCTGGTTTTGATTTTATATGACATTTGAAAATGCTAGAGACGGTGTTGTGGCTTGACCAGGTGAAAAGAGGGTAATGCTGCTTACTTTGCCGGATTACACTGAAACTTGCTATGCTGTAAGAAAGTATTTACAAGCTCTGGAGAGCACGATAAGATGCATTACTAGTTGCGCAATTATCCAACGTTTTATTCAAGTCTAATTGAAACGAGCTACTGGGAACTGCGCAATATGCAACTTGGCAGCTGCGTAAGGAATCAACCTCAGGTTCACCTTCTCCGACTTGTCTACCCGTGGTGCGATTGGGGGAAGTGCTGCGGTGTCGAGTTCGATTGGCCAGTCGATGGGGTAAGCATCAACTTGTAGACTGACTGGTACGTTCTCACGCGAGAAGACTGGGTTAGGCAAGTCGTTGTCGCCGTCTGCCAATTCACCCACCCTCAGTGTCCCAGGGTCTAGCGCATATCTCCAGGCAGATGTCGGCTCCAAGATGTGATCTTTGACCCGTGGATCAACCTCGGTGTCGTCGAGAGGCTGTAGGTCTGTCCAGTTGAGAGGCTTGTGGCTTGTCTCTGTATACTCAATGTCGGCTGAATATAAGATTGGGCCACGATAGACGCCAATGGTCTCGTTCCTTGAAACTGTCGTTATTTCCATTGGGAGGTGGACTGTAACCTCGGCGAGGCCTTTCTTGACACCCAAGCGATGCAAGCCTTCGCTATTCGGCCGCAGAGCTTCCTTGCGTCCGTGGTCAATTTTGAGAAAGGCCGTCTCCCTGACAGTCCACTCGGGAATTCTGATGAGGAAGTCAAATTCCATATCTGCATCGATTTTGTAGTAAAGAGTATCGGAGAATGGGTAGTTGGTAGTGACTTCGACTGTATGCAACTCTCAGTACATGTCTTCAAAGTACTTGTGGTGGTGTGCGAAGAATCATTAGCAGCAGAGAGGTTGTTGCTTCATACCTTTCACTGATTTTCCATTGACTGATGTTTCGACAGACATGGGACCAAGGAGGACATGAACTAACCCTGTGTTGCCTCTTCTTGCGAAAGCTGACGAGACGTACTTGGGGTAGGCCTGAGGGTGATTCACGGTACAGCATGGCTGCGTCTGCGTCAGTACAGTACGAATGAGGCCCTTTAAACAACAGAGATGTGGAAATCCACTTACAAAGTTGGGCTCTAGTCCAAACGTGTTTGAGTACGTAGCAACGTTGAAGTACGGGTCTGCCGTCAAGTTCCGTGACCACGGCTGATTGGTTTGCGTCACGTACTGATGAGACCACCCTGAAATGGAAGATTGATCTTAACACGCTGGTAATATTGGTGGTTCACCTTCACACAACTTACAGTCGGGGCTCATGGCAGCAGGGAGCGCATTGAACGCAGCTAATTCCGCACGGTCTGCGAATAGATTCGTACCATGGTACCGGTACAAGTAGGCGTATGAAAACATGGATTCCACGGCCATACAAAGCTCAGAACTGGCCAAAGAAGTCAAAATTGTATCAATGGAGTCATATGCCCCGGGGAAAATATTCTGTCGTTACCTTCTCTGAGGACTCTGACCGCCAATGTGCTCGTCTCCAATAATGGTGCCAGATAGGGAGGTGTGATATTGCAGAGTCATATTCACCGCATCATGTGTTTGCTGAATGAGGCTCTCATTCTTGGTACGGCGATGAAGAACACTCGGATAACGGAGTCCTACATTGTCAGATTTAGTCATCTTGAGCTTCTGTTTTTGTTGACTAGGTAGGTGCCTCACCTTGTGCTAGGTTGACGCCGTGTGTAAAGCCACTCGATTTGAAGTTTGTGTCTTTGGGAAACGTGCCTTCGACAAAGAATGTGGTCCAGTCACGATTTCCCAATCTCCCGCCCTCAAACATGAGGTCGATGGTTTCTAGTATGACTTCACTATTTTGGCGTGGGTGCTTCTCGTAAAGCCACATTAACGAAATTGGTAGTTCATGAGTCCGTGACACCCCAAAGCCCCAAGGATCGAAATTGTCATCTTGTGAACGATCTTGAATCAGGCCGGTGAAGTTGTTCTTCAACATGCCGTGAGCAAGGTCGACGAATTTGTGCAGAGCAGTCACTATCCTATCAGTTTCAGTCGGGTCAGCTTCTGCGTATTGCTTCAGAGAAACGGATCAGTAAAGATGGTACAGAATTATGCATGATGGGTCATAGGATGACGGTCTTACAGTTAGGCCAAATGCCAATAGTGATCGCGCCCAAATGCCTCTTGTCTGTCGCGTGGTCTCTGGACCTAGCCAGCCATCCTCTGCTTGCGTGTTCAAGGCATAGTCGAGGAATGCTTTTGCCTGGTCTTTCAGACGCTGATCATCGAGGGTCCAGGCTAAGGGGACTATGTAGTTGAACCAGTAGGGCGCCGCTTCGTTGAGTTCACTGTACTCGTATTCGCCGCCAAGCCATGTTGACCGGTGGACATAGCGATAGAAGTCGAACAGATGACCCCCAAGTCCTTCCGCGGACAGCTTTATTTGATCACGCAGCCATCCTGAGGGCTTCACAGCTCCAAGCGGGAGGCTGTCAAACTTGAAAGGCATGAGATCTAGAAACACTTCTTAGCCAAGAACTGGTATTGTGCAAGCGTATGAGAGATCGCAGACTGACCATTCTCATGGGACTCCGCTTGAATGCTCGCACCGGGGAGCAGCACGACGGAAAACAGAGATGTCCAAAAACTAAGTGATCTCATGACGAATGATGACACAAACGCCTTGGGAAAAATATTTTTGGTAGACGTACATTGATGTTGTGGATTTGTTCATAAATAACTGTCATGATTATCCAATACCGGGCTGCCACCCGGCAGTTGCTCCGGTCCGTAAAACGAACATTGCTTGATATCTGAATGTAGGGGAGCATATAGATTCAAAAGAGGAAGGCCTCTATGCATATCGATAAATGACGGTCGGATGACAATATTCTCACACATTTACCTGGTAAAGGCTAATTGAAGAATCTTCGTTTCAAAATGAAACGCGGCTGTCATCAATTGCTTATGCTAGAAAGCGATACTACTTAAGAAAACTGTGCAATGATTCATCATAACTATCCTCTGAGTGTTATGTTTCTTCCCAGACAATAGAGTTCAAATCCCGTGTGTTTCCGGTCTATCTACCAGCAATGTAGTCTGTCGCCACTCGCTGTTCATGATGCAGTCGCTCAACGTGAGTACATGAGCTCGTAGAACGGATCCGGGCTGTAGTTCTTCAGGCTCGCAAGCCTTTCCACCGAAGGCACGTGCTCTCTAAGCACCTTGTTATAGAATTCCCTCGCCGCAAGCCACCAGGTAGACAGCTCGCCGCGCCCAACCTCAGAGATTTTAGGCCAGGGCCCAGCAACTAGCCGAGAATTGCACCGTGCATATCTTGGGTCGTATGGCACAGTCTCATTTGAATTGTACTTGGCCGAGTATTCAAGTCCTCGGCGCAAAGTACTATTCTCGAAATGGAACAGGTCATGACCCTGATTCCACGCGATAAGGGAGGCGTGAAGACTAATACCAAGGCCAAATTGGACATGACCTAAGGGCAGAGAGGTCAGTATGTATCAGCATTGTGGAATGGGAGAAAGTGCAATGGGCAGAGGCTCACCTTGGTCGCGACCAGACTCAGAGGACTGCCCAGTCTGGGGGTTTATGAGTCCCTTAATACCTCCACAAACGTTATTCTGGTACTCATTCATTGCATAATTCCACATAACAACGTCTTCGAGGTAGATTGAGATTGCCATTAGCGATTGTACCATGGCGATCCCGTAATTAGACTGGCCAATAGACACGACGGCCGGAGCCATCACCCGGTAGAGCATGCCTGAGAAGCCGGTGCTACCTCTGTATGACTCTCCTTCCTCAATCCAGCCCCCTTCACTTCTGAGAATCTCGGCGGCATTGACAAAAGCCAAGCCCCCATGAACCCCTAAGGAGTTGTCGAGGCCGGTGAAGCGCTTCAGAGTTGTCCCCCAAGCGTCGATGATGGATGTCGCCTTGTCAAAATGGCGTTGGTCGCGGGTTATGTACCAAGCAATTGTGTTATACAGCGCAGCCCAACCATCTCTCTCGAAGCCACGGTTCGTGGTGACAACGCCTCGACTAATCTCCTCCATCACTTCGGACATGGTGTAGTTTGAGCTGGCACCCGGAAGAGCGATGAAGCGTTCCCAGGCCGATTTCCAGGGCTCCTGCTGCTGCAAGACTCCCTCGCGAACCCTTTCCATGTCGTCGTGGGTGAAGTCGATACCAGGGTGCTTGAATTCATAGTTGAAGGTCTTGGTGAATTTGACGTCGGAAGCGCCGCTGTGGTGAACGGGGAAGAAGGGTCCGACTTGGGCAGAAACTGGGACCAGCCAGGCGGCGGTAATGGAATAAAGTAACGGAATTGTCTGCTTCTTGAACACGAAGGAGGTCATCAACAGTTACCAATGCCCCAGGGATACTTTACGGGCCAACTCTTACCTTCATCATGTCAAGTCTATGCATGGCCTTGAATCTAGAAGGGTAAGATACAGAAACAGTTCCAAAGCTAGCCAGAGAAAGTGACCTTACGCTTAGCAAAGTATACGACACTTTTGACAATTTCTTATCCTCCCACTGTGCTCCGCACCTTCCGGCGCGAGTAGCCTCCTTGCGCTGTTCATTGACTCTATAAACGACATGCCAAGAATTAAGCTTCTCAGGCGTGGAAGTGAGCGGGGGAAAGGAAGCCGGTGACCTACATGCTGCGTTTCAAGGTCTTGTGCCGATGGAGTGGGAGTGGACTCAGTTTGGGGTCCCCCGCACTGATCAGCATTCCGGTCGGAGTGACATCCATGCTCCGGGGCAAGTCACGGCCCGGTACCGGTGTCGAATTGCAACACTCCTTTTGCGTCAAATACGTTTTGTAGGATCGCAAGTGGTGATTAGGTCGCGCTGAGAAAGCAATCTCACGTCGCGAGGCGCCTTTTGGCTTCATAAGATCAGGAATGGTGAAACTTACCACGTTATAGAGATGTGTAGTCTAAGTTTACCGAGTCGTTCTTGACGGACTGGACAAGTGCTGCTAAGGTTACCACGAAAGATGAGAGATGCCAAGCTCGAGATCAAGACTAGAAATACAATACACCTTTGCTTTTTTACTCGCACATCTGCATTTGCTCGTGTGTAAGCTGATGGTTCACATTTGAGAACTTCAAGCTCGCACCGTCGTTTGGGTGAGCGCCAATTTCTTGGTTGAGTATTCGCTATAACATAAGAATAGCTCAACATCCTATCAAATGTGCAATATAATATCTAGGACGCAAAATCCTAGTCAGAGTAACCGCGTGCTTTCACGGGGCAACCTTGTTATATCCGTCAGTCTCTCCCGAATCGGTCTCATACCACTTGACGTCATCTAAATACAGCGTTCTCTGGGCATCGCTGTAGTTTTCGGTGTCTACATAGCCGAGTGTGTGAGCCGAGTTCATATATGTCCATAGGAGAGTTGGGAGTTACGTACCGTAGGCATATTGGCCATTCTTAAAGTACCAGCCGCCCAGCGTGTCCCCATCCCATGTGCCAAACCCAACGTTGATATTCTTCTTGCTGTATACGAGGACGCCATCCCACCAAACTTCATACGCCCCGCGAGCTTCTCTTGACACCTTCATACGGACTACCACATTATGCCAGGTGTCCCTCGCGACATCCTTGACAATTGTGGCGGTTGTAGGATCGCCGCATGCGGGCCTGTGGGCTGCGATGACAGAATTGCCCGAGATCTCAAGAGTCCCACACCAAGACGAGCAACCGCCAGGGCAGAACTGCTGAGAGAAAATTGTTTGCTTGTTTGTCGGGAACTTACCAGACGGGACGAAGATTCTGAACCCCTGCCATCCTTCCTTCGTCATTTGCTGGACGTTGGTTGTAGTTCCCTCTTGAAAGACACAAATCTCGACGCCTTTATCATCGCGAGTGCCGTCAAAGTTACTCTCATCGAAGAAAAGCTCGAGGTTGCCGCCCATAACTTTGGCTGCTGACGGGGCTTTAACATTGCATGCCTGGAAGGGCCCGAGACCGTTGGAGAAGTCGGCAGAGAATAGGGTTCCAGCGGTTGCGAGGGAAGAAAACATCAGAAGGACGAGGGGGATCTTGTTCAGGAGAGCCATAGTCGCGCCGAATGCAATAGGTCAAATGGGTAGATGCTCTGGCTTTGGGTTAAGGACTCCCTTAGCGTTTTGCTATTGCGGGAGGCAGATCTTTATAGCAAACCACACGTAGTCTTCGTTACGGCCTTTCTAATGATGAAACGCGGACCCCGAAGGTGCCAAATGACAGTATGGTGTGTACTCCACAAAGATCTGCGCATCTAACCCTGTTTCAGGCACAGTCTGGGGAGGAAATGAGAGTCCGCACTCAATGGGTACAAGCGGGAATCAATAGTCCGTTTCGCGAGGATCATTGTACGTCGAGCTTCGCCTTGATACCAATAGATGATTTAAGGGTCTCCAAAACCTTGGGCATGGCGAGAAGTTCAGCATTCAGCAGAGAGAGGAAGCCTTGACGGCTTCACACTGCCTCCTTCGGTCCCTTGTCATCAATGATTCGACCAGCTTAGGTATCCACGAGAAGCACACGACTAGACCGCGTTGATGCCCACATCTCTGTCTACCCCAAATGTGCTCCTGTAGTTACGATCTCGTCGCCCTCGAAACAATCTTCGTGACGTGTCTAATTATCGGTAATTGCTCCGTAACTCTGGTTGATCATCCGACGAAGGTCGCAAGGCTCCGAGGGCTTGGTGCGGCAAAGACATTTCCACCACTTAGTGACTCTTGACTGGTTGTAGGATTCCCAAGTCTTCCTCCAGCCGGGCCAAGAGCGGGCCGATCGAGACTTTACTCCATGCATCCACCTAATTCAGCAAACAACCACCTTTGAACACCCCCCCTTCCCTTCACCCGCCGGGCCATTTCTCGGACCCTTCTCATATAGAGAGCGAGAAAGCTTGACCGAGAGACTGGCATTTACAAGATAGAGTCCACATATACCTATGCAAGAGGGGGAGCGAAAGAAGTTTTACATAGTGTCTATTCTAAGAAAACACTCTTGCCTAAATCAAAGGGCTGATCACGGCGTATACGGCAACTCATGGACTGGTAACTCCTATGATTCTATGCTTAGCCAGCCACCCGCGCAATAAAAGACCCCTTCTAGCAATCGCCGTTTATGTGAAAACTAGAGAATGCTATATTTGGAACCTCGAAAAGCAAATGAGTTTATTTGATACATTAGACTTCTCACTTCTGGTCTCAGATTCACGTTTGGTCTCTATTTAAGACCTATCTGAACTGATCTTGTGGCAAGAAAGATGCTATTTAAAGGTCTTTGGTTCGCCACAGTTTATTTTGGACCTCGCCTCTCGGTGGGGCTGACCGTTTTGCCCCTTTGAGTAATAGGGAAGACATTGTTCAGATATGTAAGATTCACTTGGAAGAGATTGTATTGTCCTAAGCATAAGTTTAATAAATATTCCAGGAGATTTCTTATTTCTCTTCGTGCTAGATCAAGTTGGCACGTTAATCTAACGCTCGTCAACCACGCATTTCTCGGCATGAGTAAACGCCCACTTTGGAAAATCCCTTTGCTTTGGGTTCTTCCTCGGTGCAGAATCTGTAGATTTCCTATTGAAGAGGATGAACATTTCGTTATAGGTGCGAGAAAAAGCGAAAGGTTTCCAAAGTAGCCATGAGTAGCTGACCGAGTTACGGCTGTAGTGACGGTGGATGGTTATCGGACGCCATCTTTCACGTACTCTGCAAACCAAAGCTTCCAAGACGAAGATCTCGGACGACGCATTTATTGCAGCAATCATGTTAGCAGCTGGTTGCATGATGAAGTGGCCATTGGTTGCCATCGCGAGTGTCTCGAATTCGCCTGCAAGCTGGTGCCGTGGGCTGAGTTCCGACCAGCCTCTGATCAAGAGACATCTTCTATGGCGAAAGCTAGGCTCAACTACTCCAGCACCAATTTTAAGCAGTTACGGTTTAAAAACAATTTGATTGACATCTACGAGAGACATATTCCCTCAGAGCAAGAAATACATGACGGCCGCAGCCAATCCTCAACCTCTTCGCCTAGCATTAACCAGGGCGCCGCAATCGGAACACCTATTTCTCGTCTGTTTGCAAACAGCGTCTACTGGTATAATCTCACCCCTTTCGAGGAGCAGCACAGACTCCAGGTCTTGCGGGAAGAACTAGGATGGAGACTTAGCGAGACCTTGAGTCCAAGCCGAAAATTACCTTGCGAAATATCAACTGTGATCGCTGACCACCTTATCCAATATTACACTATCGCGGCATCTCTGGTACTACCATATGAAGGGGAGTCTACTGCTAGAATGTCAAATGATATTTGGGCAACATATATACAGATCGACGGCAGATCATACATATCCTGCCTATCAAATGTGCCGACAAGCAAGAACATGAAACTAATTCTACAATCCGGCAGCCGAAATGAAGAAGACGCTCTTTACATATTGGGAGATCATATGGGAATCCATGAAATTCATTTCTCCAGTGGCCTGTCCGAAGCGACTAAACCAGCTGCATTTTCCTCATGGTGGCGCGTCCTTCCCCTGGACTCCAAGCAGGACAAGCTCACCTTTTTCTCAGATGTGAGTTCCTCATCTCTTCTCGACTACAGCCTTTCTTTCTGTTCCTGACAGGGCGGCTTCTTCAGGGCATTAAACTTCAATCACTATCAAATTATATTGCAAGGCCAAATTCCCAAGGCCCCTTCCTCGCTGAGCATATGCTGTGGGCCGAGCCAATCACCATAAGCGAACTATCTAGTCTGAAATATGTATGCTCGAGATGGTATGATGTGTATTCACACGGCTTAGGTGCCTCTAGAATGATTCCCATCACCCTAAACGCCCCCGGCTGTAACGGTTATTCTGTTTACTTCCGGCCGTGGCCAGACAATAATGCTATCCTCGGTCTCTCAGGTGTCCATGAACACAGGGTTGGCCAAACGTTTGATTATCATAGAACAGCGGTCTATTGCCCATCTAATACAGTTTGCACTTTCGTGCCGATGAAAGACGGAGAGAATATACACCAAGTCTGGTATGGGTGCTCCTTACATCCTGCGAATGCCAGCCATCTTGCTGTGAGTTCATTCAAACACCGCCCCATGCACATGACAGCTTACTTATAGTTTTATGTGGCAGTTGGTGACGACCTCTGGGCGGTGCTTGATCATCATCGTATCGAGCCATGGTGGCTGCCCAGTAAGGCGGCGAAATATAGACGAGAAAAAGGAGTATATCTGGAAACTAGCAGCTACCGCCTCGTCGACTGTAGAGGATCGGTTGTGGCTTGTGTATGATAGCTCGAAAAACGACGTGCTCGCAGGGTTAGCTAGTCCCAGAGCCGGGGAGGAT